AGCCTCATGGATGAACTTTTGTTCCGGCTCAACGCCCTGTCCGACAGTCTTCACCACACTCTGCCTGCTAAAGAGCCGGCCTGCAAGGAGGGCGAAAGCTCTGGGCTCTGTCAGTCAGACTGTGACTGCAGCCTGGACTCGGAGGTAACCTCTCCGGCTTTGAGCACGAAACAGGTGATATATTTGCTCCTTCGTCCGTTTCCCTAAGCCTGCTATCACTTCTCCTTCCAGCTGTATTGTCATTTCAGTGGCCCTTTCTCTATTGTTATACCATTCACATTTTTTTGTTCTGTGAACAAAATTCTTTGACTTTATTGTTTTACCTTCTTTTTCTAGGAGGTTGCTTTTTTTACCCATTATAATAAAAGGGAAAGATAGCAAATGCAGATTGAGGTTTGATTTGGATGACTGTCTCCAGGGACTTGTTGGTCCTTTAAAGCCCTTTAAAATGGCTCCTGCAGTACTGTAATGTGTGCCACTGCAAGCACTTGATCCACACAGCCTGCAAGAACCTCTTCTTCCAAAATTCAAACAGCCGTGTTTAATATAGAGGTTTCTTACTAAATGAGCTGTGCGCACACACACTCTACTCCAAAATTATTATTTTTTTAACAGTACTCAACATTTTTGCATGCACACGGCTAAAAGGAAGTGTTACATAAATGTGCACCTGCCTGCTATTCTGTGGAAGAGTGGGTGCTGGTGTAATTGCATTCTCTCCCACTAGAGGGCACTGGTCTCCCAGTGAGAATTACCTTAACTCTTGCACCCAAGTAGACGTTAATGAAAACAACTTCAATAGACTAATGTCTAATAAAGAGACAGTTATTTTCTTGACAGAGCGACTATTGCTTTGCTAAGGCAGGTTGAAGAGAAAGCTCTGAACATTCACACAGGGGCCTGAACTGCAGGGCCCAAGACAGGTTATTAGGCTGGTTGTTTCACTCCACCTACGCACTAACTAACGGCCCTCAGTGAAACACCGGTGTCTACAGTCCAGACCCACCACTTAAACTGCAATTTCACTGGCCAGGTATATGGACATAAAAGAAAAAAAAAAAGCAAATTCGTTCCAAAAATCACCCTTCTAAAATGTGGCTTTAAGGTTCCTTCATAGTGGAGGTTTCTCTCCCGTTGGGTTTGGACCACGATAAGCCTGGGCAGGCTGAGCCTACGCCTGGGGAGTAAATGCCGTTTCTTCCTGGTGTGCAGCACGCAGGTGACAGCGAGGGTCAAGCACGGAGAAAGGGAGGGAAAACCGAAGCACTCCTGTTCCAGGACGGCCCAGAGACGTACCACGCGTCCCTGCCCCTTGAGGAAGGCACAGTGAGGAAGGAACAGAATCAGCTGAGGTAGCACTTTCCATGACTTCCACAGCAGAGAGCTTCAGTGTCCATTCAGGTTTCCTTCCAGGGAGAATAGTCCTCCAGACCGTTACAGACACGATTGAGGAGGGGGCAGCCTCAGCACGTGCAGGCACAAGGGAGCAGGTGAGGGTTTATTCCCTGCCCGAAGGTGAAGAAACAAGTGACACAAGGTTTCAGTTACGGAGCCTTCCTCACTCACACCTGAAGAAGGCTGCACAGCTGAAACTGTGTTTTTTTTATCTGCCTTTCAGCGAGAAATGAACCCTCACCTGCTCCTTTACAGACACTTAATGAGGAGGACGCACAGTGTCTCGTGTCATTTGTGTGTGTCCTCTAGCGCTGGCGTGAAAGTCACCCGTTTCAGGAGATTCACACACGGAACAAGGCTCGTCTGTGTAAACTGGGGCCGTGCCGTTTTGGCACAGTTAGTACGGAACGGTCAACCCTGATCCTGAGCGGTGAATCTGCACCTCCTGTGCTTGTTGATTACTGAGCAGAAGCTCCCGGTCTGCTTCCTGTTCTCGCCAGATCGCAGCTCGAATGGGAGCCGCTCCGGCCCCTGCGGCGGAAGGGAGAGGGGATCGCTCCGACGGGCTCCCGGGGGAATCCGGAGCAGCCCAGCTGTTCCCCAGACAGGGCGGGCCCCCCCTGCGCTGGGGTCAGAGCAGGGCCCCCCGCGGCCGACCCCGACCACTACAGCCTGGCCAGCCTCGGACACGACCTGCCCCACGTCCTGTGCGGGACCAGGTGCCCCGAGAAACGGGCGTCCCAATGCGGGGCCGGCTGTCCGGGGGTCCCCCCGACAGGCCTGCCCGCCCGGAACCGCCGGGTGCTGACGCGGTCCCGCTCCGCCGTGATCCAGACGGCCCGCCTGTCCGGACCGCGCTCCCCGCCGGGGGGCAGCGGGAAAGGGCGCCGGCTCAAAGGCAGGTCCAGAATCGCTCCCGCTTCCGGGCCGACTCCCGACCCGCGGGCCGGGCCGGCGAGACAGTGCTGGTGACCCGCTTCTGAACGCTGAAAGAAGGGGCAGGCTCACGAGTCAGAGGGCGACCAGGCCAGGTCCCAGTGGAGAGGCAGTCTGGGAGCACTGGAGCGACTAGAGGGAATGGACTGGGAATGGACAAGAACTGCGAAACAATCTGTGTGTTACAGAAATACAGAATAAAAAGGCAAGAGAATGTGTGGCTTAAATATGCTGAGTGAGTACCCCACGGCAACGTAATAAACCATAATATCTAAGTACGTTCATGCTTTTACGTTAAGGAACACTAGAACAAATTTAACTCGATGTGTCATGATGCTTTTACAAAGCATCAGCAGCCTTGTGATATTCCAGTGATTGTTGGAAATACAGTAATTCACCCAAGGTTTCAGTTTCACATCCCCTAAGCTGACTGCTACTATTGTTGATGGATTTTTAACTGCTGTGCACCATGTCCTGGAGGTACCTGTTATTGAAAACACGTGATCTGTATGTGTTCACGTACAAGTATCAGGCTGCTCTGCCGACGTGCTGCAGGTGCTGAGGTCTATTCCACACTGAACAGTTCTGGAGTACACGATAGAAATGTCTCCTCTGCTTTCAAGATAATTGTAAT